GAAAACGACAGAGTAACGAGATAGTTCGTGAATGTGTGTTGTGTAAAATTAATGAACCTGCTCCCTTTTATTGAAGAAATTTGGAGAATCCCAGTGGGATAAGAAGTCTTCTTCGAATAAACCTCTTAATTAGGTTAAGGGTCTCTTGAATTCCTAGAGTCCCTGCTGCTATCAACCTCCTCGTAACTTGATCCCGAAGCCATCTTCAGGTTCTAGCCCCTTTGTCGGGATACGAGGGCCGCCGAACACACGAGGGCCGCCGAGCGTACGAGGGCCGCCGGGCACCTCCCTTGGTCGAGCACTCTCCTACGCCGAACATTCACCCCACGCCGAGCACTCATCAAACCGGGCAATGCCGCGCCAGACACTTCATCCCGACCACCTCCAATGCCGAGCACTTGAGGGGCGCCGAACACCGTGCGACGCCGAGCACTCCCAACCGCCGACTACCATAATGCTTAACCGGTCCCCTTCATATTGGCAATGATGACCGGATCACAACCGGTTCCTCACGAGCCACTGCTAACGACCATATCACAAATTATTTAAAATAAAATCTATTAATTTTTTTTCATGAATATAGGCCTATATAGATTAATTTCTTCATTTCAGTTACCTAATAAATATAATTAATATTTTGTTAACAATACGTAAAATATAGATTATAAAAAATAATATTATAATTTAAATATTTATGTCAAAATAAAATCAATTGCACTTTATATTGAGAAGTTAAATAGAAAAGTGACTCTTAAATTGGTAATAACCTGAAATGTAAATAAAAGAATAAAATTCATATCTCCAAAGGATACAAACCAAAAAGTTAATTATTGGAATAACTTTTTTTTTTTAAACGGCAAATTCATCAAATCTATTAATATATAATAAGGATTAACATAATTCACTTTTAGAAACATTTTCCCGCCAATTTCATTATTATTGCCTAAAAATAGTAAATTAATTTACAAAATCTATTAATATATAATAAGGATTAACTTAATTAATTTTTAGAAACTATTTCCCGCCAAAAACATTGATTACTGCCTATAAATAGTAATTTAACAAAAACAAGCATTAATTGCACATAATTTCCTTTTTATATTAATTTAAAGGTACAAATATCCGTATATATCTATACAAATATCCGTACAAACAAGCATTAATTGACTTAC